ATTCAATTATCTTGATGCATTGCATTGCTACAAATTTAATACTGGTAGTTTTGCATTTTTTAGTTTTTCCCCTTCTTAAAATACTAATTTAGTATTTTATTTCGTAAAACATACCAAATTTCCTTCTATATAAATGCGGTCTCTCTACACTAGACGAATTCAGGAAGAAGAATCCCACGGAGCACTCCCCAGTCCACACCGCCCCAATCTCCGTTGTGGCTTTTACCCTTTCGTCAGCACCAACACCGACTCTCCGACAGCCACTCCAATGGCGGCAGGACTGTCCTCCACCATAACCGCCGAACCCTTCCGTCCGTTCCACTCCCCACACCACATCCCCAACCCCGCACCATTATTCTCTCCTTCGATTCACCACAGAACAATGGTCAGAACTCAGGAGAAATCCAAATTCACAGTCTGTTTCGTGTTGAAGGAAAAGAAACAGAATCTCCGAATGGAAACCATCACGGAGGAAGATCTATCAGATGGTATTAAAGATACCCAGATCTTGATACCAGCACATGTGGCGGAGAAGCTGGCCCGAAAGAGATCCGAGAGGAAAACCTACCTGGTCGCCGCAGTGATGTCCAGTTTCGGCATCACTTCCTTGGCCATTATGTCTGTTTACTACAGGTTTTCCTGGCAAATGGAGGTATATTCCTTCTCGTCCCCTCTCTGTTTTCCTTATATTATACAGGGATCGAATTCTGAAATCGGATTCTCTTTGCTTGGAAAAGGGTGGAGAGATTCCTTACTCTGAAATGTTTGGCACATTTGCTTTATCCGTTGGTGCCGCTGTAAGTTCAATTCCCTTTCAATCTTTGCCTCGTCACATTCTTGGTATAATTTGGGTCCTGAATCGAACTGGGTTCTCCAAAATTTCAGGTGGGTATGGAGTTTTGGGCGAGATGGGCTCATCGAGCTCTCTGGCATGCTTCTTTGTGGCATATGCACGAGGTATATATCCACATCCACCCCTCAATTTTTTTTTTCCCAGTAACCAAACAGTCCCAAATCCCCTGAGTTGTGTACTTAACCTGAAATCTCCATTTTTCCAGTCTCATCATCGTCCCAGAGAAGGTCCGTTCGAACTGAACGATGTTTTCGCCATCATCAACGCCGCCCCCGCCATTGCTCTGCTCTCCTACGGCTTCTTCAACCGGGGCCTCTTCCCGGGTCTCTGTTACGGCGCTGTATGTTCCTTTGTCTTCATTATTTTTCCGAATCTTAACATTGGCCCTTAATGCAACTAATTAAAAGAAAATGATTTGTTACCTACCTAAATAATGATTAGGTGGTTTTTCTTTTTCTTTTTTTAAATAAAAATTTTAAATTTAAATAGTAAGATAAGTGGATGAGGTGAGATAAAAAAATAAAAAATAAATATTTATTATGATGTAATAAAAAAATTAAAAATAAATTATTTATATTATTTTTTATATAATTTTATATATCATTTAAATTATTTATTTATTTAAAATTTATGATATTAAATATATTTGTTTATTAATATATCAAATTTATATAAAAAATAATAAAATTATTTCTATTCCACTACTTTAATTATTTAATTGAGATCGGAAACGTTTTTCCATGTCGAAAATACCCCTGCACTTTCTCTAATATTACACGTTGACCTTGGCTCAGGGAATCGGAATTACTGTGTTTGGGATGGCGTATATGTTTATCCACGATGGTCTCGTGCACAAAAGATTTCCGGTGGGTCCTATCGCCAACGTGCCTTACTTCCGGAAAGTCGCTGCAGCTCACCAGGTTTTTTTTCCCTAAATATTTTTTTTTTGGAAATTTTAATGAACAGTATCGACGGTCATGATCTTTTGTGTGTGTGGATTTGATTTATTGTTTTCTAGATACACCACTCGGAGAAACTCAATGGTGTCCCATATGGGCTGTTTCTAGGACCCAATGTAGGTGATCGTTTCTTCTTCTTTTTTTCTTTTTTTTTTTTAAATGTGTTTTGTGGATTAAGTTAAGCTGAATTAATGTTTTTGTGATGTAGGAAGTGGAAGAAGTGGGAGGGTTACAGGAATTGGAGAAGGAGATAAGGAGAAGAGCTAAAGCATAAAATTGAGCTTTTAAAGACCTATTTTTGAGAAGTTGTTATGGTATAAAAAGATTTAATTGTCATCAATGAAAGTTTGTTTTTAGGTTGATATATGTTTCAATGATAAGTAGAAAGAAAGATGGGTGGAAGGACCGGTGTACCTAAGTATGCCCAAGATGCAAAGGTATAAATAGGTATTCGTTTTTAAGTGAAAGAGTCAACTATAGGTTGTTGATTTTAATTTAATGGGTTATATATTTTAATAATAAAAAATAATTATTAGTCATTAAATATAAATTATTAGATATTAATATCAAAATCACTAATCCAGCACCGCTAAATGTGAATTATATGAGATTCAAAAAGACCATCTTTTTTTTATATATTTTTATGAAGGTGGCCTTTGTTCTTAAAAAAAGAAGAACAAGAAGAAGATGCGTGAAAGGAAAAGAAATACTCTTTTTGGATTTTTTAAATTTGTTCTAGTTGGTTAATTTTATATAAATTAATTTTATGGTTTTATATACTAAATAAATGATAATTAAAATTTTTTTAATCTAAATAAAAATATTTATTAAGAACTAAAAATAAGAAAAAATCCATTATTATCTATTTATTAGTATATAAAATTATTTTATCAAAATTTATACAACAATCAAATTAAAATAATTAAATCAAACTAAATGGAGCAAATTAAGAAGGATTTGGTTTGAGCTTTACATCCAGGGAGCCACCAGAAGGGGTCTGCACTCCGACGAGTACAATTGACCATAAAAAGAGTTAATGTTTAATTAATACTCCATTTAGTTGAGTTTCGATTTATGGTTTATGGTTTCAAATTTTCTATTGAGATTAAGATTTATCAATCAAATTTATCAAAAAAAAAAAATTAAGTGAAAAAATATTTAAAATTATGTGATTTTAATAAAATACAAAAAATATTAAAACAATTTCATTCTTGATTTAAAAATTAAGATATTTTAGGTTTTTTCAATGTAAATTAATTAAGATAAAATATTTTTGAGATATTTCTATACTAAATTTTTTATCATGCGGTAATATATCTTTTTCTCTTTATATATATATATATTTATTAGCAATTTAATAGAGTATCATATTTATATTAATGGTGGTTTAAATTAGCTTGTTGGTGATTTTGTTTTAATTGTATGGTCAAATAATTATTATATTTAATAATCTAAAAATTCTTTTTTTGATATTGGTTGCATAATGAAAAATAATCTTTTCTCATCTTTTATCTCATCCCACTCATATGCCATGCAACTCAAACTCAGGATCTCTTATTTCTAGCGAAAGAAGATTACCACTAAATTACTTAAGTTATTGACAATAATCTAAAAATTCTTATTTTCTTAAATTAAACAACATTACAAACAATTAGTTTTAAAGAACGATATCAAACACTCTTTACATATGCTGTCTCAAATCAACTTTAGTTGTTTTCGTTTGGATTTTTAATTTTTTAAACATAAATTTTAGATAAAAGGTTTACATATATATATATGACAATTAATTTTTTTTCAAATTAAATGAAATTATTTAACAAGAACTACTTATTCAAAAAAAAAAAAAGAATTAATTATCATTCATATATATTGTTAAATATTCATATGAAATACATGTTTAAAAAATCAAAAATAAAATTAAACTAACTAAAGTTGAATAGAGTGAATAGTAAACTTTAAGTTTTAAATATAATAATAATAATTACTGTGTTAAATACTGTATATAAAACAATTAGAAATCGAAAATAAAAAACCAAAAATGAAACCCAACAAAATGGATAAGGTAAAGTGTTTGTTGCCCTTACGCAAGTTAAGTGTTTGAAAGAAAAGCACTACTCGAAAAATGTTGCTTTTGTGAATCATTTTCCTCCAATAGTCGTTTATTGTCCAACAACATACCAAGTTATTGTAATTTTAAAAAGTGTGTTGGCAATTTACATTTTATACGAGGCTATGACTTTAGTTTTTTTTTTTTTTTTCTTTAAATTGCTAATGCAAAACTAGTCAAAAAGTGCTGTCTAACCTTGCCATTTTTAATTGGGCAGGAAGAAACCTTGCTATTTTTAGCTGATGCCCAATTTATCTGAATTAGGGTAGACAAGCAATTGCCGACTAAACTTGGCAGAATGGCACCCGATTCGAAAATTTTGACCAAATTCATTCATTATGAATATGGTTATGAATTTAAAATATTAATTTAAAATTTCATATAATTCAGACCGAAATTACTTAAATTCAATTAGGTTAGGTTAAAAATCAGGTCAAGTTAATTTGAAATGACTTGATTAAAATTAATTAATTTTTACATATAAAATTAAATTATATACTATAAAATCTTTATCACTTATTAAATTATTAGAGTTAATATTAATTTAACAAAATTTTTAACTAAATAAATAATTAATTAATATTATTTTTTAAAAGAAAATTAGGGAAAATATTAAAAAATTTTAATTTTAATTTTCTTAAAAATTAGGTTCACTAGATTTAATTTGAAATCTATGTGGATGGATCATGAGAGTCTACCCCCTTCAACTTGAAATCCAAAATGACTTAACTTGATAAACCTAAAATCCAAAGTGATTAAATCTAGATTTACTTGATCTAACTTGTTTCTTGGTCTATTGCTGATCCATTATTATAACGTATATAATATATAACCTAACTTGAGCTGTTGATCTTTTTAAAAATGATAATGTTATGATTATAATATTGTGTAAAATTATAAATTTATAATTATGAAGTATTATTAAATAAATAGATGCATATAGTATAATAAGTAAACATATAAGTAGAACGATTTAATTATATAACAGTACATTATTTTTATTCTAAAAATATTATTATTCCTTTTTATATATTCCTTATGTCTCAATATAAATGTCAATTTTTTAACTTTTTTTTTTCTAAATTAAAGAATTAAATATAGTTTATGTATTTACTTATATTATCTTTAGAAAAATTCAAAGACAAAATGAGACTTTTTATGATAAGATAACTAATCAATGTAAATGAATAATAATAGAATTAAAGTAAAAAAAAATGACATTTAATTCAAGATAAATTCAAAGTAAAAATATATATAATTATTTTGAAACGAATGATGCATTATTGTTCCCTAATCTATATGAGGACAAATTGTACCCTCTATGGTCCCTAACCACTGAGGCATGCTCGTTTTGCCCTCTATTATTGCCTTCCCATTTCTGTAATTCTATCCCTGTTTTCTGTACGGTATAGACAACATCCAACCCTTTCCATAGTTTCATTTGCCTATTTTCAAAAAAAAAAGAAAAAGGGTCAAATCCTACCCTGGATATATATTTGCTGTAACATTCTTTTATCCTCTTCTTTGTTTCCTTCTCAAAATGCACCCTGGCCCTCACCTTTCTATCTACAAAAAAGATGTCTCCCACAGTTATGGTATGAATATGACAAGACTTCACTTGATACATTTGCTTGAATTTCAAAATAATAATAATAATAATAATAAATAAATAAATAAATAAAAATAAAAAACCCTTACTTGAGATAACCCGGTTACAGCTTGTGACTTACAATCTCACTCATGGTCCAATTTATAGAATAACTAGTTTTAGTTTCTAAATTAATGAGCCAATCCCCTCCTCATCCCACAAGTGACCAAACCATGACCATATCAAATAACAAAATGGATGTACTAGCAGCAAAGCGCAATACAAAATCCTGCTGCCAATGGGCTAATAACAAATAGTGCATTTGGAAGACAATAATGTCTTTTGGGTCTAAACTAATAAAAAAGAGAGAGGTTAATTCCGCTTAAAAAAATTTAAATACTTTTAATAAATTTTATTATATACCTCATTCATTAAGAGAAGTACACATAGACTTTTCTTTCACCAAACTACTCTTAAAAAAAAGTATGAGTATATCGTTCAACAAAAAATAATCATTCACTTTCTCAAATTAATTATTACTTTTCATCTATTTTAAAGTTTAAATTTAATATCTACAACTTAAAATTTTAAGTTTTTTTAGTTGAAACATTAGTTTAAACGTCTCTTTTTCGCTTAAATAATAAAATATAATTTTCTTCAATTTCTTAACTCATTTGACTAGTGTGTTTTGTGATTTAAACTCAAAAATTTTTATTTTTATTAAAAAAATTATCATTAAACTATTTAATTTGTTTTTAAAAAAAATCTATTAACAAAACTATGTATTGTACCAATGGAAGTGGCATCTTTGGTCTGGAACAGAGCCACCCATCCTTAACACAGGGTCCTGTATGTGAGGGGAGTCAACTACATAATGAAGACATATGTCTAAAAACCCGACCAACTCCAGCCTCCACAAAAACTTAAAAAGGCTCAGTGGCCTTCGCTCGCACTATAATCCAAAATGATTGTAACTTCCACTTTATAAGATAGCCATTAATTTTAGTGCACTCTGCATAATCCAATTATCTTCCCGTTCCAGTTTTTGGGAAAATTGTCCACGTAGTTTATCCATCAATTAAAATATGCAGTCTTCTTTGGTAGGCTGACCAAACAAATAAATGTTTTGTAAAGCCTAACAAGCTAACACGGCATTGAGGGGTTTGTGTTTACATTTTAAAATTGACTCAAACTTGAAAAACTTGTGGATAGAAAATACCCCACGGAAATAAAAAGATAGTTTTTTTATGCATCGAGTTCGGTATGGAAAGTGCTCAAGGCCCTTTATACCCAAATAGTCAGGGTCTACGCACCTAATCTATCTACTTCTAGAGAAAAAAAATAAAAAGATTGCTAGTGCTTAGTTTGGTCATTGACCAATGCCTCGTTAAGGGAAAAAGAACCTAACCGTTTCTATTTGGGAACCTCCATAAAAAAAGTCACAAGCTCAAACTTTGCAGTGCATGAAAAAGTAATGAGAAGAAACACTATATTTTTTTTAATATGGCATTTAGATAGTACCATGTTAAGTCAATTTTTTTGGGTAGGTTATTAAAATTATAATTCAAAAATTTATGATAAATTATCTCTTTATCGATCTTTTAAAAAAAAATTGACTTTTGATCAAAATGTAAGGAAAACACTATTACCAATTGGAGTTTCGTTTCGAGGTTATTATTCGGTGCAATGCTATGGTTGTAAAATTATTTGTACTATCACAAAAATATTTAAAATTAATTAATTGTAATAAATTGACAATTTTAAATAAGATGTTATATAAAAAAGCATTGTATATAACAATACTAAATGAAACCTAAATTGCCATCTCTTGAATAAAGAAAGGCTTTTAATTAATCATATGTCGTGGCCCAAAAAATAATTAATCATAAGCTGAAAAGCAAGATTTTTCTATAACCTTGCTTTCTCTTAAACACCTTTTCACCCATGTGAAGTGTTGAATCTGACAAGGTCATATGTTGAGACATTAACATCTTTGGCATAAGAAAAATATCAGTGACAACCTGACAATGCATGAAGATTTTTAAACATAAAATTCTAAAGAAAATTCAAAGAGAAAATGTCAACGAGCCGGCTTTATACGATTGGTTGTTGTATTTGTTTTTATTCATTGCACTTCTGAGTTGCTTCTGAACCAGAATATTGACTGATGGGGAAGGAGATGGACGGGCTGGGCTTTGGAGCCACTCCACATGTAACCCATCAACCCTCCATCTGCAAGTAGTATTAGACCATTAGTAAGCCCTGATTTCTATCCCACAAAAATTGTTGACAGATTGGGCCTTTTCCATCTTTATTTGGGCCGAATTAAAAATTTAACAGCCCATATTTCAATTTTCCATTTTCTCCTTCAAACCCGCCCAAGATGAATAGGAAATTTTTTTTTTTTTATAATATATCTAAGTATGGGTCATATAACATAGATAGTATAGGTGTTCATATCCGATTCAATCCGATTAATCCGACTTAAACTGATCCAATCTAATTAAAAATCGATCCAAACCGATATAAAATTGGGTTGGTTTGAATTCTAAAATTTTAAAATCGATATAATTGGTTTGGTTCGTGATTTTACCTTCAAACCGCCCGAACTGTCCGATTACAAAATAAAATCCGATTAGAAGATAATTTAATTAAATAATGTAACATATTTTTTGTAGTATTTTAAATTTTCTTTTTCTTATTTTACAATATTATAACTCCATTAACTTAATTCAAAAAATAAAAATAGAATATCTTCATATTCTCTAAGTTATTTCTCCATTTTAATCATGCACTATAACCTTAATTCTAAATTTTTAATTCACCTACAACTCAATTCTTTCAGAACTGGTTTGCACATTTACTCTTAGAACCCTAAATTTCTAATTTATTCTTAAAATAATCTTATGATTTTCCTAACTAAATTTTAAATAAATATCATTCTAAAATGTTTAAAACTATATAATAAAATTAGTCTTAATATTCAACTATTCTTATATATTTGGTTTAGAAGTTTTAAATTTTAATTTTGAATGCTTCTAATCAATTTTAGTAATATTCATGTTAAATGTTATTTACTTTTAACAGGATTTAGAAAATGATATTAAATTATTAGTATATTAAGAAAAAAAATTAATTTTAACCTTCAAAAATTATTTACGCTGTGCTAGAAATTTGAAGTTATTTTTTATTGTTTTTGGTGCCTCTAGTAATGTAATCAAGAAGAATTTTCAGAACTTTTCAATTTTTACAAATGTAAAGAAGTATAAGAATTCGTTTATAATTTTTACATTTTATTATGTTTTTACTAATTTGGATGTTAATGTATTTTATAATTATACTTTCTATTTGATATTAAAATATTTT